AAAAAAAAATTTATTTTGGCCTGATTTTTATTAAAACACTGTGCGACCTTCATCAAAATTCAGCTTAATAATTTTTTTTAATTCATAAATTTATTTTACAAAGTATCACTCTGAGATTTATCATGGGGCCTATTTCGACTTCTCTCATACTCCTTAAACATAAGAAAAATATACAGGGTGTTCAGTAAGTCAGGAAACGGGTTTCTATTGTTCTCATTGTTTGTAACAATGAGAACAATAGATACCCGTTTCCTGACTTACTGAACACCCTGTATAATATGCCTAACAAATTGTATGTTAAACTCGTAAGTATTTTCGTTGTGGAAGAAAAATACCACTATCCTTCTACAATACACAAACATTTAAGGTTGTTTTGAGGATTATTCGACGTGTGCCCACAAACAATTTCAAAAATTAGCGTATACCCTCGAATAATAATACGTTTGAACTATTTTTATTGTGAGGTATACGCTTACAAATCAGAGTATACCATTAAATAATATGTATAAGTTCAATAAAGTCACCGTGATTTATTGTTTAAAGACTACATTTACGTGGATGGTAATGTGTAATAACCAAACAATGACAATTTTTTTAAAATAATTTAAATGAACAAACTTTTAAAATAGCGCTGATACGTTTTTTGCAAGATCAATAATATATGTAATTTTACGGCGTAAAGTTTTAACTTGAGCATAAATAAATATGTACATTTTATTTGCTGCAATAGCTAAAAAAAACATGACGAATAAATATATATTTGAAATTTTAATTTAGGGAGTACGTTAACAGTATATAATTTTTTAAACTTTGATGCGAAGCTGAGAAATTATTAATTTTACAATGATATAGTTTCTTTTTTTTTGTGTGTCTGTTACGACTTTTTCTCAGTTTATTTTTAATTTGAATCAATTCCATTTATACAAGGGGGATCAAAACTTAAAAATAAATATAGAAAGTAGAACATATTCAACTCAATTTTTGAAAATGTTTCGGAAATACTGAGACTTCTATATACACATTAAATTAAAGCTTATACAATATATTTTAATATGAAAAAAAAATGTCTGACTTTATTTTGTCTTCATAGTGAAAATAGCTACCGTATGCTATTTTTGTGATAAAATTTTCGATTTTGTATTTTATTTTTTTAAAAATACCTTACAAAAGTATTTGAATTAGAAAAATATTTTCAACTTATTTGATTTTTATCTCATATAGATTCAATAGCTTCAATAAAGATTAAGGATCCCATCACTGTAGTCGACTCGCATGAGAACAAATTTCTTATTCATATTAAAATTATTTTACTATATTTTAGGTTTCAGCTTCGATGCAATGCTGAGAAGGTATTTTTTTGTGACTATCATTTATTTTCTCTGCTCTAACTTGACCTACTTTTTTCAAAGATACGTCAAATGATTACAATTCTTATCTAGTTGAAGTATTACCCTGAAAAATTGAAAAAAAATTCTAATTAGAATTTAGAAATTTACTTAGCCTATATTTTCCATATAGATAATTAAAATCATTCATTTTTAATGTTTTCAAAGTATTTATTGACTAATCAAGTTTGATATGATAGGTTTCAACTACAAAATAAAATCATTTTATTTTGTAATTTAATAATTTTTTTTACTCTCTTTGTGTGTACTACGGCTATACACTTTTTTTTAAAATATTGAGCTTTTCTATTAAATTTACAATAAATAGTAATTATAAAACTTCCTGACTGCATATTTATCTCAACGATACAATATTTTGAATTCTCATAAAATTTTCTATTTAATGATGTCAATTTCAAATTTGCAAATTGAGCTAAGAGTTATAGTAATAAATAAATTTTTTTTTACTATAAACTTTCACAAAAACCAACTTTAGAGGATTCAAAAAATAGATTAAATATGTCATTTTACTTATTTTCAACTTATTAAAAATCAAAGTCAGTATTAATTTAAAACAATTTTTTTTAATTTTAATTATTTCTTTTTACGTAAATACTTATGTTTTAATAATATTATTAATATTAAAACTATGAAGTGATAGAAAAAGTCTAATTGCACATTTGAAAACATCGCAAAGATTTAGAAAAGTATATTTTTGTTTCTGATGAAAGTTCCTTGTAGTCTAGTGTATAAAACTTATAACTTTGTTATAAATAACAAACATTTTTTTATTAAAAAGTAATGCATCAATCCCTTTAAATTTTTATACGCATTAAAAGTTAAGAAATATACAACTACTTTATTATTTTTATAATATCTCCGTACACATTACAATATTAAATTATTGAATATCAATTTAATACTAAATTTAATTAATGTTATTAGTATTTATTCATACATTATATTTTTAAATCAAAAGATCACTAATCAGGATATAATTAAGGGGATAAAAGTTGTTGTTGTTTTTGAAATAATCTACCAATTTCTTAAAGTTAAACATGTATACAGATTTGCATCGAAGCAAATCTTATGATAGTGATTTTAATCATCTATACTTGTCCCAACTATGCCACTTCCATACTGTGCCGCGACCCTACTGTGCTACCGTTTTTTTTTTAATAACATTTTGATTGGTTTTTTTAGTTAAAGTAAATCATTAAAATTAATTATATTTTGAATGTTTCAATTGTAGAAAATTTTTAAACACGAAAAATTAAAAATAATTACTATAATTTCTATTTATGTGATTTATTACAATAAAAAGGAAAAAAAATATTGAGCATCCGATAAATTAATAGTAAATAGTAATAATACAATTTCCTCCTTGCATATTAATCTTAACAATACTTTTTTAAAATAAGGATAGAATACAATGTATTCCCATAAATTAGCGACCCATCATTTATTAGATTCATTTTTTCTACAATTATCTTTTAAAAAGATAATCTCTTATCTCAGAGATAAACAGTCTCTGATTACTTCAGTAATACAATAGCGTAATTTCAATGAAGAGTATTTAAGGCATCTAGGTACTGACCTTTTTTCAGGGGTTAGATGTAGGCAATTTTGCAATTTTTACATATTAAGCGGTGTCGTTGCATGAGAAGTAAATGATTATATTAGTGGGAGTGTTCATTATTGGGAGTATTGAGTTAGTTTCTTAATTGAGGTTTAAAAAAGGGAAATTATTAAAATATAACACATCAATACATCAACAAGATAATTTTTTTTATCTTTTGGTGTATTGCTGAACAATAACAGCCCAGTAGGTACAGATATGGACAAACAAAACACATATAACAGTAAAACTAATATCTTCTTAATTTTCTGTTGAAGCCGAGAAGGAGTATGAAAATTATTTTTATATTCACGTACCACATATTTATTTTGACGCCACTTTTTTAATGTTAATACATAACCTATATTCTTTTCTTTTTTTTTTTATGCAGCTGTATTGTTATACGATTCCCCATTTTTTTAGCGAAACTTAAGTATTAGAAAATGACAACATTTGTATAGTACTGTGCAATAATAGCTAGATTGATCATTAGATATAAGCAAATAATCAAATATCATGTATACAAGTGTAATATCAAGTGTGTAATTATTTTTAGGCTGTCGATATTTCCTTACGCAACTCTATTGGCAATAAATTAGCTGCTGTGGATAACGCACATCGCGCACGAAAATGTCAGATATAACAAATAATGTTTGAAAACTATTAGTTAGAACGTAAAAAACTACTCATTTTTGTTCCACCAGTACACCGAAACTACTGATGCGATAAGAATTCTGAAACAGATCTGAATTCAGCATTATATCACTTAATTATCGGTCAGGTTACTTTTTTAAAATTGTGATTTCTTTAACGCAAAAATTTATTTTGTACAAAATTAAATTTTCAAAAATGTAAACTGTACTTAAGGATTAAAAATATCAAAATTTAAAAAATTAGCCTGACTGATACTTAAGTGACATGATGCTGAATTCAGATTTGTTCTCAGAATTCTTATCACATCAGTAGTTTCGTCGTACTGATAGAACAAAAACGGGTTGTTTTTTACTAAAATGCTGTGTATCTAGTGGCCTAAAAAAAAATTAAACATTTAATTTATAGCACCGTACAATTTTGTTAATCTTTTAATATATAAACTATATATAGTTAATATATATATTTTGTTTGTTTATAAAATAAAATAGATGATTTATTTATATTCATTACGTTAACGTATTAACTAATTACAAATACCCTGAAATATAAACTATCGAGTTTTTAAATTATTATTATTCACTAGCGAAAACTAAGATATTGACTTTACTAATTTTATATACAATCTAATATTACCATATTTTAAATAATAAACTATAAACTTGGTCGTGTCTTAAATATGATACGATTTTTTTTTTACAAGTAATAAATACTAGTTATATCAAATAAATTATTTTATTAAATGGGAAACATTAATTAAATAAAGACTAAACAATTTAACATATTATTGTGCATTTAATGAGATTTTTAAAAAGTAATTGTAGTTTATTTAACAATTAAAATATAAATATAAACAGATTAAAACAATAAACTAAACACAAATAACATAGACACATATAATAGTAATTAAAATAACACGTATAAATACTGTAATCCTGTTAAAGCAAAAAGAAAAGAAAATATTTATACTAAAATATTAGTAATATTTATACTAAAATATTAGTAAATTATCTATTTAGAAATATAAATAATAAACAAAATTCACTCCGATTTTATTATGCGCATAACGAGAGTAGGACCGAACCTAACAAACCCTAGTTGATTAAAACTTTCAAATTCAGAGTCCGAAATCCAAAATCTATATCTCAAATTAATATAATCCAAAAACGAACCCCAATATACATCCATTTGAGTCTCCTTCAAATACGAGTTATTTAAATCATTCCAACTCGGTATGGACGGTTTTCCTTTAACACAAAAATTTTTCTCTCCCATTATATCATTATCTATTTCTTCTTTAAGATCCTTAAAAGGTCTAATTAAATCATTAACAGCGGAATCCACAGGTTTTTCACATTCAATAGTAGATACTAATGCATCGATATATGGTTTTATTATCTCTTCGTTTGTATTTATCCACAATGTTTTTAAAAGCCCAATAAGAAATGAATTATCTACTATTTTCATAGAAATCATGTAACATATTACACGTAACATGTATTCTGTTTTGTGTGCCATATCTATTATAAACTCATGAAAAATTTCTAAGTAAACAAGTTTCTCGCCTCTTCTATCCAATGCTTTAAACTGAGTTGCCATATATTCAATATAAGTAGCTATATCAAGCAAATTATGAGCGTACTTACACATAATCATTGAACTTACGTGCTTATCCAACAATATTAGATCATTTGAATCCATGTCATCACATGAAACAGATTTTCCATCTTTAATTATTTTTATATTTTGTAATGACTTCCAACCCGGGTTCACCATTATTCCTATTGCAAAGTGCACCACAATAGTTTGTAAAGTGATTTGGCAAGTGGAAAATAATAATAAAATAACAACTTGAATCATAATTTAAGACTATGGCGTAAAGTACTTTAAATAAGTAGAGTAAAAATAATTTTGAAAATTTAAAAACTTTATATAAATTAAAACTCTTAATTATTTTTAATTTATCTTCTTATTTTGAATACGTTTTTAACAAAGTCAATAAAATCGATCATAAAATATATTTGTATCTATTTGTAGTTATTTTTTTTTGTATAATTTTATTTTATTTACATATATGCTACTAGTGAATTGTATTAATAAAATAGGTATTGATTAAAAATATATACATTATACAGTGTCTTCTTAGCTACTCTTAAGTGCTAAAAATTGTAATAATATTATTTATTTTAATATTTTACCATAGTCAGTAACAAAAGCTTTACTTTAACATATGTTTAAATATTTCTATAACCTTTCGAAAAGTATATAGATCAATACAATTTTTTTATAATATATACTATTTATAAACCTCTTTCATTCAACATACTTTTTTTTAAAATCAGACCATTTAACTATATACAAAGGATATTCAAAACTTAAAAATGCATACATAAAGTAGAACTTTTTCAACGTAATTTTATAAAGTATTCCGGTAATACTGACACTTCATTAAATATACAGAGTGATTAAAATCTGGAAAAACACTCATTTTTTAGAAAGTATTGAGAATTTTTAATTTTATTATAGAGAAAAAATATCAAGTTCAAAAAACTCTACAGTAATATGTAGTCAAACCATTATTTTTTTTGTCCCTTCAAAGATAAAAACTGATAGACTGGTAGTAATACATACAAATAAAGTTAAAAAAATTAATATATTACAAAGTAAAATTATTTAGTTTTGTAGTAGAAACCTATTATCATATCAAACCTAATACGACAAAAAAAAACATTAGAAATTAATTATTTTAATTTTATGTACAGGGTGATTGAAATTCTTGTAAGACACTCATTTTCTGAGAAAATATTGAGAATTTTAAATTTTATTATAGAGAAAAACCCTTATTTATAATTTTCTTAAATGATAATCCTTATTTTTAACTTTATAATATGACAGAAAAAAAAATTACCAACAATTTTGTTCTTAAAATTTTTTTTATCCGATTAACCGTTTATCCGCTACAGCTTGTTAAAATTAAATAATTTTAGATTTAAATACAGAAGTCATGACTTCTGATAATGTAAAATAATGAGAAGTCATTACTTTTATTTGCTGTTGCAATAATAATAATAAATCAAGTTTTATTGATCAAGTTATGATAGGTAAATTAGCTATAAAAATTTACTAAGCACTAATTGAATGATAACAATAATAGATTCAAATCGTGTTTTCGGTGTATTATTAATAGCAAAGTCTATGGGTTTGTAAAAAAATACAGGTTGCACTGCCACTGATATTATGAAACGTAATAAATGACAATATTTTTTCTAGAAGTCAAAATCTTTAAACAATTATAAAACGTAAACGATTGTTCGGATAAAAAAAATTATAAGAACAAAATTGTTTGTAATTTTTATTGCTATCATATTATCAAATCAAAAATAGTGGTTCCCATTTAAAAAATTTTAAATAAACATTGTTATTCCTGAAGGGATAAAAAAAAATTCATTTAACTTCATGTTTATTGTAGAGTTTTATAAACTTAATAATTTTTCTTTTTAGAAAAATTTTAAATTCTCAATAGTTTCTGAGAAAATAAGTGTATTACCAGATTTCGATCACTCCGTATATTAAGGTGTCCCTTATTTTGAAAATTTTGGAAATTCTTCGGGCTCATCACCAAAATTTGTGTATATATGTATAAAAAGTGGCTACAAAAAATTTCAGGCCGATCAGATAAGTTTAACCCTTGCCGACTTGGGGTTGAAAATCGGACAAAAGGGGTACTTTTTTAGCTTATAGCAATTAACTCGTAAATTAGCGCTCTTACAAAAAAAAATATAAAAACTAAATTGTAGAACTAATTGTTTTGTATAAATGAAGTCATTTTAGTTTTTCTTTTAAATCCATTAGTTTTCTAACAAAAAAGTCAAAATACATAATATTTAGTAAAATTGCCGAAATTAGCATATTTACGAATATTTTATCATATATGACGAACCATATGTGATACGACCTAATGTTTTATACAAAAATTGTTTAAAATTAAATTTTACGAAATAAAAGTAATAAGTACTGTAATGTTGCAGAATTTAATTAGTTTTTAATATAAATCTTATCAATTAGATGTGTGTGCAGTAGGTGTAAAGTATTTTAATAATTTTGTATATGATAACCTCCACACCGGTCCGATATCTGTCATCATCAGCTGACCGTACACTATGCACCTATACCCATATTGTTGTATTTCCCCCCAATGGACTTGTCAAAGTTGGTACCACCACCACCCAGCGTCATGATCACCGGCCACCATCCAAATGCCGCGACAATGATTTTTTTTTCCACCTATACTGCCGAGGCGACAAGTTGTCCGTTTGTATTTTTTTTTTGTCCTCCGTTTTTTTTTTATCAAAATAAAACGTCGAGTGGATCTGCTGTCCACCAAGTGGTGTCGTTGTGTTTTTGTCCTCCGTTTTTTTTAAATAAAACGTCGAGTTGATCTGCCGTCGACTTGTGGTGTCAATCAGACTGTATTTTTTTGTCCTCCGTTTTTTTTATTTAAACAAAACGACGAGATGGTGATGATAATGATGATTATGGCGTAAGGTACAACTATGGCCGGTGGTGGGCCGTCACTCCTCAAATCAACAATCAACAACAAGTACAACATCAAGAAACCCCCCTTTTTAAATTTTATGTATCAAGCACCTCTTTCTTTTTTTTCTTCTCCTTTTCATAGTCATTTCCTATGAATATATTTATATCTTAAATAGTAATTATACATTTTTTAATTAAATAATTAAAAAAAATGATGTTATATTATACATGGCCTCTTTTTTTTTTTTCTCTATACTTTTCCCACATTTTTATTAATATTGGTTTTTTTTTTGTTTTTATCAAAACCTAGTAGCTCCGTCAGCAAGTAATATCTTGTTTGGCGCGACTACTAGGTCACTGTCCAGTGTTCCCCCTGGGCAGTGGGTAATTAGTAGGCCCTCTGTTTGGCTGAAACCTTACAGTACAAATTTCATTGAACCAATCGTTTTATTTCTATAGCTGAAATAACTCGATCATATTACGATTTTTACTATAAATATGAATTTTATTGTTTAATTTAAATATATTTCTGTAGGGTAATATTGGGGATTCTAGGCCCCCCGCCTCACCCCTTCACCTAACCATCCACCGATGGGTGGCGTGGTCGGGGGAGGGGCGTGTCACACAATTGGCGTGGTCTTTCGATGGTGGGGGTAATGTCAAGGTCACACAGTGGGCGTGGTCTTTCGATGGTGGGGGTAATGTCAAGTACATATAGTGGGCGTGGTTTCTCGATGGTGGGGGTAATGGAGGATTGGATTTATGAGGGTGGGGGTAATGGCTGTAGTCAAGGTCATATAGTGGGTGTGGTTTCTCGATGGTGAGGGTAATGGAAGCGTGGTCTTATGAAGGTGGGGTTAGGGGAGGCGTGGTCTTATCAATGATAGTGTAAGGGGTGGAGTGGTCTCACGATGGTGGGGGTAATGACCTTAGTCAAGGTCAAACAATAAACGTGGTTTCTCGATGGTGGGGGGTAAGGAGAAGGTGTGGTCTTTTCAATGATGGGTTAAGGGGAGGCGTGGTCTTATCATATATAGTGTAAAGGAGGCGTGATCTTATCATAGATAGTGTAATGGAGGCGTGATCTTATCATTGATAGTGAAAGGAAGCGTGGTCTTATGAAGGTGGGGTTAGGGGAGGCGTGGTCTTATCAATGATGGTGTAAGGGGAGGCGTGGTCTAACGATGGTAGGGGTAATAGGTGACTTAGTTAGGGATGTTAATTTCAATCAAAATGGCGGATTAAAGTGAGCATGCGCACTATAACTTCATGTCAGTGGTAGGGGAGGTAGCTATATGGTTGTCTCCACCTACGATGTCATCTACTGGAGGGTAAGGTAAACCTCATGTGAACTGATAACGTTCACTGATAAACATACACATTACATTGAAATAAGTACGTCAAATAATGGCCGCCGTTGCCACTTTAACATATTTACTAACATAACATATTAACGCTATGTCTCCGTCAACAATTCCTATATAAGAANTTAACGCTATGTCTCCGTCAAAATTCCTACAGAGGGAGGGGTAATGAAACATAACATAAACTAACCTATAATGGGTGGGTATGAATCCAACTTAAACAATGTTTTCTATGAATGTTATCATTGCCTACCAGACGCTTAGGTAAGTATATTTCCGACATCAGTACTGTATTATAACACCCTTAGGCGTCAGCATTTTATGAGAACAATGACAACGTCTGTCCTTATGGCATAATTTCTAAGAATTTTATCATCAGTTACCAGACGCATAGCCAAGCATATTTCCAACATCAAAGGTACCACTATATTATAACTCACATTACCGTCTACATTTTATAAGAACAAAGACAACGTCTGTCGTTATGGCATAATTTCTAAGAATTTTATCATGAGTAACCAGACGCTTAGGTAAGCATATTTCCAACATCAAAGGTACCGCCATATTATAACGTTCATAGGCGTCTGCATTTTTATTTTTTACATAGTATTTTATCATTGCCTACCACCAGATGCTTAGAAAAACATCTCGTTAATATTAGTATATTACTATTAATTATATAATTAATATAAGTACTATAATTGGTAATACGTTTTTAGAATTACTATGTTCGTCGTTATCGTTTTCTATAATAGTATAATCGCTGTTACTANTATGTTTAGGTTGCTATAATAGTATAATCGCTATTATTATTATTTTCTACTGCGCCTTTAAAATAATAATATGTGTATCGCATTTTATTTTATTATATTTAATTTGACAATTTTTATACCTATAACTAGAGGTATTACATTTAAAGTCGCTCCCCCACCACCAGCACCCCTGAGTCATCACTGCGCTTNAGCACCCCCGAGTCTTCACTGCGTTTATCATTTAATGTATACATTACATTGAAATAGTGTACGTCAAGTAGCGACCGCCGCCACCACACTTGACTATTCCTTGAACGATTTGTAACAAACTCTATTAAGACAATTGGGTGTGAGGTGCACACAATGTGTGAAACCCAATGAAAACTAACCTAAGTCGGGGAGGGGGATTTCCTCAACATGTCGTAATGAGCGAAGGGGTAATAAAACATAACTTAAACTAATCTAATGGGAGGGGTGCGTATGAAACCCGACGTAAACAAACTTGCCGCACGTCTATAGATTGTATATAATAAATAATTTCTAAAAAATTTTACGTACAGTAATAATCACTGTTGTATGCATGCATTTTTTAAATAGTATTTTATCATGGGTAACCAGACCCTTAGGTCAGCATATTCCAGACATCAAATGTATTACTATATTATAACGTTCATAGACGTCAGCATTTTATGAGAACAATTGCTATCATCGTTTACCAGACGCTTAGGTCAGCATATTTCAAACACCAAAGAGATCGTAATTGTCGTATGAATCTTATCATCGTCTACCAGACGCTTAGGTAATCATATTTCCAAAGATGTTACAATATATTAATGGTCACTGTCGTATGCATTTTATGAGAAAAATGGCAACGTTGTCTTTTTTCACGCCTACACATTTTATGAGAACAAAGACAACATCTGTCGTTATGACATTATAATTTCTAAGAATGTTATCATCGTCTACCAGACGCTTAGGTCAGCATATTTCAAACATCAAAGAGGTCGCCGCACAAAAATGTCGTATGAATCTTATCATCGGATGCCAGACGCTTAGGTCAGCATATTTCCAAAGATGTTACAATATATTAATGTTCACTGCCGTATGCATTTTATGAGAAAAATGGCAACGTTGTCTTTTTTCACGCCTACGCATTTTGTTATTTTACTATATAACCGGTTAAACGCTCTGTATCCTGTCACATTCGTGTTCAATTAACGTTAACGCATAGTTGATTATTTGAAAACTATAAATTTATTATTTTAATATTTTCACGCGCAAATAAGAAATCATGAACCAGCAAATGTCTTCTGTAACAGGTATGTACAATTATTAACATTTTAATATCTCTTTCATTTTATCATCCCTACTATTTTTATTTATTTATTTTTTTTTTTTATAATAAATAAATTATTTATTTATTTTTGATTAAAGCTACCTCGTTTACATCTGCTTCATCACGTCAGGCAGCTAAGCGTAGTAGGGCCAACAACAGCGTGGTTAGGTCGAAAAGGTTACGTATGCAATTGACGGATACCAGTGATTTCAGCGAGATCGATTCCGCTTTGGAGCAGGGGGCCGTTTGGTTTTACCGGAAGAACGTGGAAAATTTCGCGAGCTATCGAGATTTTCTACGCGTCGTTAAACCTGAGCTGGTGGCCAGACTCGCTGAAATTGTAGGTAACCGGCCGATCAAGTATAATCTCAAATTGGAGGCCTCATACCATATACCTCGATCAGAAGCACCGTCCGAAGACCGTGCCTTCAAGACACGGGCTAGGGCATTGCTATCCGATACAGATATCGGGTGTGCGGTCGATGAAGATTTTGAGGTTATGCTTGCCGAGGAAGACGCGTACTCGGGTAGGGGTAGCGGATTCACTCTAACGCATATCGACGGTCTTATGCTCAGCGTATACAAGTATACGCCCCTCGCCGGCTCATCATATATTCCTGTCCCGCCAGAGATTAACCAAAGAAAAGCAATCATCAACCCACAGAATATCGATCAGTCTTGTTTCAAGTGGTCCATTTTGGCGAGACACGTCGAGGGAGACCACAAATATCGCGTTGATCGAAAATATTTTAACGAGGAACACAGGTATGATTTTACGGGGTTGACGTTCCCCACACCTGTGTCCCAAATTAAAATATTTGAGCGACGAAACCCTAACGTGTCTGTCAACGTGTACGGCTTGGAACGAGACGACGATAAGATGAAGTGGTTGGTGTATCCTCTAAGAGTCGCCGACCAAGAGCAACAGAATCATTTTGACCTGTTGTACATCGGTGACTCTGAAAAATCACATTACGCGTACATTTCCGATTTTTCGAGGCTCGTGAGCAGCCAAAAAACCAAACACCTAGGTCGCATATACACTTGCAAACGTTGCTTCACTAGCTTTGATGATCAGCCTAAAAAGCATATTCTTCGGGGTCATCAAGCGTTGGAGCAACACAAGTTGATATGCGGCAAGAACAAGCCTATTTTACCTGTTATGCCGGCAGAGGGCAGTAAGGTTGAATTTGACGCGTGGGTAAAGACGCAACGGTTACCGTTCGTCATCTACACCGATTTTGAGGCCTTACTGGAGAAAACAAACGATCGTATGGGTGCATACACCAGGACTATGCACTCTCACCATCCCATGAGCTATGGATTCATGGTGNCCACCATCCCATGAGCTATGGGTTCATGGTGAAAACATCGGACGATGTGCCCTCGGAGCTCCTCGAACGCTATGGTATACCACAATCACCGGTGATATACCGTGGGTCCGAGGATCGCGAAGAGGTCGCCAAGGCATTTGTGATGGCTGTAACTGAAGTGACGCGTAACATTTCTAAATTGTTGCGCAAAACCAACGTTCCCATCCGAATGTCTGTCGAAGATGTGCGCAGGCACGGGGAGAAAGTGGTATGCGACTTGTGCCGCACGGCATTCAAGGATTCCAACCCCAAAGTCGCAGACCACTGTCATTTATCGGGCCGATTCAGACAGACGTTGTGCAATGCATGTAACCTGAAAGTGAAGACGGTCAACTTTGTGCCGTGCTTCTTGCACAATCTTTCAGGTTACGACGCGCATTTCATAGTCACTGAATTGGGGTACGACGACCAAAGGATTTCGGTCATACCGAATTCCGAGGAGAAGTATATTTCGGTTACAAAACACGTGACCAATAACTTTTCCATACGGTTTGTCGACACCTTCCGATTCATGGCCTCCTCCCTGTCCACCTTGGCCGGTAACCTAATGACGCCCGACTTCGTTAAATTCCAGGAGACGGCCAAGGTGTTCCGCCCGGAAGACATGCCGTTGGTGACGCGTAAGGGCGTATACCCCTACGAGTACACTGATAGTTGGGCTAAATTGGAAGAAACGGAACTACCACCTCAGGACGCTTTCTATAGTCAGTTGAGTGAGTCTAATATTGATGACGACGACTATAGACATGCCACGGAGGTGTGGAACCGTTTCGACTGCTCAACCCTCGGTGAGTACAGCGACCTATATCTTAAGATCGACGTGTTGTTGTTGGCTGATGTGTTTGAGAACTTCCGCGACATCTGTATTTCAACATACAATTTGGACCCGGCGCACTATTACACCGCGCCTGGTTTTAGCTTCGATTGTATGTTGAAATACACCAGGATGAAGGATCCTATATTACACTTATAAATCATAAAACTTATAATCAGGATATAAATAAGGAAATAGGAGATCATATAGCTTAAAATTAAACACTATCTTCAGATTTGCATGGAATTGTTTTTTACTATAGTGATTTTAATCACTGTCAGTTATCATTATACTTGACCCAACTATGCCACGTCTCCACTGTGCTGGGTTGGGTTTTTTACTATCAAAATTAATTCTTCAAAATTTTTTAGAGCTTCTGTCAATAGATTTTTTTATACAAAATAAATATTTCTGAAAGTTATTTTTTCAGCTAAAGAATAGTAATATAAATGGCCCTCATAGGGCCATTTATATTCATAGGTAAGATCACATCTTATTCGTGGTTGGATAAAAACAAAACTCATATTAATATGAGGTGACATTATAAAACCTAAAATATGTTTATTTTAATAATAAATTATTCTTAACATAAGAAAATGTCTACAATTAACTATATAGAAGTAAAAATTAAAAAAATAATTTCAATTTCATATCACAAAATTATAAATTGTACAATCAATTAGTTCATCAATAAATTTGGACACTATCAACATTTATTCAAGACATGAGTAATTCTATAAAATTTTAATAATTAAATTTCAGATCATTCAGAGAAATTTATTAATAATTAATTATTAAATATGATACTCATATTTATAAGTGTTAAGAATATTTTATGTTTAAGAGTAAGAAAAAAATGTGCCAATGTTGTTAGCTTAATTTATTTAAGCAAACTTTTTTTACGCTCATGAATCATTGAATGTGTATTTAAATGTCCAGAAGTACGAAATGCATCACCACAAACAGGACACTTGAAAGGTTTTTCACCTAAAATAACAATATATAATATACATATAAATAGAAACGCTTTAAAATTACATAATAAAGAAAAAAAATTTTAGATTTGAGCGAAGTACTAAATTAATAAAGGGATTGAAATGTGGACTGAGAAAAAACAACCCAGAGGATATACAATATTTAAAGAAAAAAGCTCCTGTGACCAGTCTATCTCTGGAGGAATTTTTAACCAATTGGTTTGCAAACAGTCAATATAAAAGAAAATTCTCTTAGATTTAGAACTGAAATGTAAAATATATAGCTAAGATCATTATTTATTTTTGCATTTAAATACATTTCATTTTTATATTTTACAACTGTAAAAGTCAATTTATGCTCTGTTGTTTGCAAAATTTTCTTACTAATATTTTATAATGAATAGAAATATATTTTAAAACATAAGTTGTATAATTTACTTTATTTACTTACACCTAATACATTTCAATGTTTTTAGGATTTAATGAAAGCTAATACAAAAAAAAAAATTTATATAGGGTAATGGTACCAGTCATTAGCTACCCCTACCACCCCCTTATGGCACGGCTGAACTAACCTGTGTGTTGCCTCAAATGAATTCTCATTGATGATGTTGTAGCAAATAGACCATTACACAATGGACAAACAGCACGTTTCATTTTACCCAAATGAGTTATAGTGTGATACTCTAAGGAACATTTTGTAGCAAAGGCTTTAACACAACCTTGTTCATTACATTTGAAAGGTTTGCTACCTGTATGTATTCTTTTATGTCTTTCTAAATCAGCATTCTTTTTAAAAAGTTTGCCACAAAATTCACACACTTTTAGCTTTATCCTTTCTATCTGAAGACAAAAATTTAATTATTATTTATTTATTTAATAGATACTTATTATTTAAAGCCTAATAATTCCATTAATAAGTATAATAATTATTCTTTTTACTTAAAAATTTATTAAATTCATTATTAATACTAACTGTAGTAATATTCTTTTTATTAAAATCAGCAGATATATTTGGCACATACAATACTTTTGGTTCACTATTATCATCAAACTTAGCTGACCTATTATTTAATTTAGGAACTTCATTTATTGCATTTTTTAATGAAGGTAAATTCTTCCTTTAAAAACAAAAATAATACCATCAAATATCAAAAGAAATTAAGATAAATGATAGAAAGTTTTTCATCAAAACTACAATAATTATTTATTGATAGATAATCATTGATTTAAAATTTTTTATTTAAAATAAATATTAAATAGAGTTTTTTTGATAAATATAAATAAAATGTATACAAATTATTTCATAGTTAAGTATTATTATAGCTTACTTATTGATTAGATCCAACTTTGAATTCACACTTAATTCTTTTTTCTTCATTACATATAAAAAATAACAAAATATAATTAAAATAAAGAATTTAAATTTATACTTTTTAAAATAAAAAAAAATACTCACAAAATTAAGTTCTTTGAATTCTTTTAGATCTTTTTCATCAGAATTTATAGAATACATTTTTATTGAGCTAACTAGGATTAAAAATTTATGTGTTCAATATAATTTTTTACATTGACATTATATCAGATTTCTAAATCTTTAATTAAAATTAACTCGTTACCTTGTTTTGGTGTGAAATCTGTACTCAACCCATTTTTTAGTAACACTAAATTATTGGTATTACTTGATTTTTTATTTTTCAAGCCATGATATATATTTAAGTGTTTACTTAAGGCATTAGGACTATTGTAAATGCATGCACATAGATTACACTTATGTATTCTAGTAGGTTCTTTTAATTTAGAGTGACATCTATTTATATGATTAAGTAAATGTCCTACAAATAAAATAAATCATTAAATACAGCATTCAGATTTTAAAAAGTTTATCTATTTTTAATAGCCTTCACAAATTAAAAAAAAATTCTAATTTTTCAGTACTCGTCTAAAAATACATATGATATTTATTATAGAGTATATTTATAATACCTTTATAAATATTTAATTAAATATATTACTTAATTAATTTTTGATAAAATTATAGTTGTAGAAAAAAAATGTTTAAAAAATAATATGGGAGTGTTAAATATGTAATGTCCCCTACTGTGTGCCATTGTAATAGTTTACATTAAATTCTTTAATATATTAATTTTCATACATTCTATAAATATTATTTACCTTTTTGAGAAAAATTCATGCTACAATGTTCACATACAAATGGCAAATGTCCAGTATGTTTCAATAAATGCCTACTCAGAGAGTTTTTTTGAGTAAAATATTTTGAACAAATAGAACACTATAAAAACAAAGAAAAAAAGTATCAATAAAAACATGTATGTTAATTTTTGTCATGCCTTTTTTATTACTATATTCGAGACAAGCGAGTTGGGGATAAACTATCTTTCCAAATTCGAAAAAAAATGAATACAGATCCAATGAGAAGAAAATGTATGAAAACATACATTCAGTTACATTTGGGCATATTTATTTTTTTCTATGAACGTAAACATGAATGAATACAATTATTTAATGAAAATTGAAACACTGAATCATTAATGTTAATAAGAATAAATAGTTTATTTTTTATTGACATTTTAAAATAAAGAACAATAAATATTTACCATGAATGGTTTTTCTCCTGTGTGTGTTCGCATATGTCGTTCTAACAAGCTCATTTTATGAAATGTCCATTCACAAGAGGTGCATCGAAACTTTTTAGATATATGTGGTGAATTGGTAAGTTTATTGGTTTTTTTCTTAATTAATCTATTTGATTTTTTTTTAGCAGCAAGAGGCTAAAAAAATTAACATTCAATGACTTTATTTACTAGAAAGTTATAGCACATGTTATTTATAATTAATAATACAATTACATCCGTGTCATATTTAGTTCATTGGAACCCCTAAGGTAAATTATTCTTCTCCTTCCATTGATTAGTCTCCAATATTTTATTCTTAGATATGAATAATTTTTTTAAGACAATTTTTATTTATTTTTAAATTTTACATACAGCATTTTTATGAATACAATAAAAGTTATTTCATACTATTATATTTATTTTAAAAACCTTGTACCAAAAAAATTTTTTTACCAAAATTCTACCTCCAAATACTTAATAGCATTAGTATGACTTTTAATATGTTTCATTGATTTTGAGGATAAAATAAAAATTACTCGTAATGTAATGAATATGAGCAATAGCTTTTTAAATTATTAATATATTATTTCCATCCATTTAACATCAAAATTTGAAATGAAAAGTATACACTTTATAGTATTTCAAATTACAATACAGCATTAAGATAAAAAAAAACATCAATAAGTTTTTGATTATTTATACCTATTTACTTGATAGAAAGGAATAAATTGCATAACAAGTATTATTAAAAAAAAATTTTTAATTCTTTGTTAATTTTTAACTTTAGGATAATAATTAAATAAATATTAACCAATTTGTAAAACTTACACAAGAGATGAAGTTATCAATTTTCTTATCATCACATATATATGAATAGTTTAAATTACATTCTTCTTTTTCATATTCAATATTAATGTTTTTTTCATAATTACCTTTAAATAGTTTGTTATCAGATGAAATTTTATTGTTTAATACAGAATTTTCCCCTAATACTGAAATAAAAAAATTATTCAATATAAATAATTAAAAAATATAAGAGATAAATAAATAATTGCTACTTTTCTCAGTAAGAAAGTTTTGGTTCTCATGTGTTAATGGAATAAATAAAGTTTGTTGAATATCTGCAATTAATGTTGTATCCAATTGTTGTGATATGATTGGCTACAATTTTAAAAACATAAATATCAAATCTCTATTATAGAAAATAGATAATAATTTTTAAAACTACTTACAAAAGATTCACAATCATTTTTGGTCATAACATCCTGCATGGGAGGCAAGTCATCTAATGAAATTACATTACTAAACATTTTATTATTATTTGAGATCAAAGCTACAAAAAAATAATACAATTCTATTTAGATAATAATTAATAACAACATAAAATATTTATTTTTTAACTTGTTTCAGCATATTTTTTGAGTGTAGATTCAGTACTAAATATAGATGATTCATTTATGATTGATAACTTTATGTTTTCTAAACTATTACTGGAAAAGCCTAATTCCATTTTGTTATTTTATATCTGTCAACAAGTTAATAAATATTTGCAACAAAATTATTTATTTATTTAGCTAAATTATAACCTTGAAGGATGAAATGATATATACTCATTAAATCTTATACTAATATATAGTTAGTATAACAGAAACACTACACACACAGGACTAATACCAATTTTAAGTCAAATTACAAATCATATTAAAGTAATATTTACTCTAAATTTATATTTAGTGGAACCAAGGACTATTTAGAGTAATATTATCGCTAATTTATGACATTAAAAAAAATTTTACTGTTATTTTAAATTTAAAATTATCATCTTGATTAAACGAGTAACACATAATATTAATAATGATTCACAACATTTAAATTTCTTTGTAATTTTGTTAACAAACTTATTTTGGTGTATTATCACAATATTTTTTAACACATCATTTTACCGCTAGGAGTCGTTTCAATACATTACTTTCAAGTAGAAAAAAATACTCGTTATATAATTGTTCTGCAGGGATAGCAAATTTTCAATATTCTACGAAGTCATGGAAAATAATATGTACAGAGTAAAATTGCAATTATATAAATAAAAAAAAAGATTAATTTAGAAAATTAATTATTGTTATATTCAGGGATAAGTTAAATACTCAAAATTATGTATTTGAAATATGAAATGCTAAATATTAGTGCAACTGAAAATAATTTTGGGTGGTCATTACCATTTTTTACTCTATATAATAAAACTCCAAGAGAAACAAAAGTCGTCATGGTTATAAATTCAAACATCGCATTTGTTTTGATAGGATTATATCACGCTAACTACAAGAAAAAGTATTTGAGATACTAAATACATACAATTATTAAGTTTTGTATTTGAAATACAAAAGTTAAAATACTCATAATTTTTTTTTATTTTATAAAATTTAAAAAATAATTGTGCTCAACTATTTAACTTCTAAAAAATCTAAAAATTAAGTTACAAAATTAAAAGTTAATAAATACTTTCATCACACATTTAATATTTCTTTGAGATATAACAAGTCAAACAATAAAATTATAATGAACTATAGTATAATCAATACGACAAAATAATGGTTATAAATTTCCTTTGAAGAAAATTGGTTCTTCAAATAAGTAAGTGACCAAAGAGCTTATCTCTCTTTAAGCAGTGAATCATCACTACAAAAGTAAAAAAGCCATTGAAAAGGAACAAAAAAATTGTGCAATAACTTTAATATTTACTGGGAGATAACTATTAAGCCATAATAAATATTTATTTTTATTATAAAAACTTTGTTTATACTCCAACTCACAAGATTGATTTACTATTGACAGTAGAAAAGTAGTTGATGACATAGTTAGAAAACATAAAATCTTCTTAACCTGTAATGAATAGCTGTTTTTAGTTGTACCTACAGTTACATTATACATTTGCATAACTTTTGTACATAATTGCTGGATTTGTTTCCTCTTCTTTGTAAATAATGATTCTAGAATTCATCTCATCTTAAACAGGGGATGAAAATAAGTAGCAAGAATTGTTCATTTACTTCTGGAATAGATTAAACATTTTAACTAACAGTCTCTCTAAACATAATTTTACTTCTATGACTAAACTAGAACAATACTTTTAATAAGTTGCTAGTAAATTTAGAAATTTATTTTTCAATGATATTAAAGTTTGAATATGCTATTATTTCTACAGTTATATCATATATATATACGATGTATATATAAGATCAGAAAAACTTCTTACAAACTAAAACTACATATTTTCTAGTCAAATCATTTTCATTTACCTAAATTTAAAAAAAATATTCGATAATAATTTTTGTGCATCAATTTGTATTGCCCAATATTATGCTATTACCTTCATGAAACTAAAATGTTTTGTTGATCAAATATCAACATTTATATATATAAATTTTACTTTACAAAGATTTTCAAATAAATAATCAGTAAATACTGTTTTTCTTTTAAATTTATGTTCAACTATAACCTAGACATAAATCATATTTTCAACTAAATCAATAACAAATTATAACTGATAAATTATTATGATTTCATCAAAAAGTGTCTTTAAAATAATTAATACCTATAATAATTTTAATAATATTTCTATCCTCAACTGTTGAACTCTTCAAAAAATTGTTGAGAATTGAACCTCTATTTTTAAAAATTGAGTTAATTTTTTTTGTTTTTTTATCTTCTTAATTTCTTAAGATTTTTTATCTAGTCTAATAATCAAAACAAAGAGAATAAGTAAATAGAGATTAAGAAAGAGAAAAGAGAGATAAAAAAAAAATATTTTCTACATTAATACATTTTCTAGGGTATTTCTTAGTTAATGTGTTAAAATTACTCTTATCTAATATCCTTTAAGGGAAGACAATGAGCTACAACGATTAAAAGAAATGTAAGTCAGCCCTTCAATGAATGTGATTAATAAAGGATAATTAAAATAAAGTAAAATATTTTAAGCCATACGAACACAAATATTTTAAGCGAAATGATAGTTAAAATAAGTGAACAGTTAAAACATCTCCAAAGAATACACTGTAAAATAATATAAGATAATACAGCTAACCATTCAGGTGTGATTATGAAAAGAAATATGAACGGGCTAAATACTCGTTGAATAATTGAATAAAAATAATATTTAGTCTTGCTAAATTTCTAGAATCGTAAATTATAAAATATATATTTTATTTATATTTTTACCATTATTATCCATCATTAGATTTTATTTATGTAAGGACCTTAAGTTTGAATGATTTATATTGATTTTGTTCATTATTATTCAAAATATCAGGTGCTTTCAATAACATTGTAGGAATGGTATATGTGCATTTATTGTTAAATTATCAAACCCAACCCAACCTTTATCGGACTGTGTGTTTGGCAAAAATATGATTTTATATTTTCTCATCTCCATCTCTACATATATTTAACTTTTATGAATTTTAAAGTGGAATTCCAAAGAATATCAGATAACTATATTTTATATGATGAATATTTAGTATGTGTTTATTGGATTGATGAATTACTTATATTAGCATAAATTTCAAAACCTTAATAACAGTTTTTTAGCTCAGTCATTAATTAAATATATTTAAAAATAAAGTATTTATAATGGTGTTAAATGTGCCATCGTTTTTAAAAGTGAGTTTGAAAAAAAAAATAATTGGGCTTATGAACATGAACGATAAAAAAAATTCAAATTAACTAAATTTTGTAATAATTTTAAATACACTATTGCTTTTGTTGCCTTTCAATTCCTGCGTTATAATGTTATTCTTTTTTCTCTTTATTAAATCCTAAAATTATAAATAGGTGTAACTTACAAGTAATTATTTTTGTGCGGTCAGACAGGTACAAATCTAAGAGGGTACTAGCAAGGTAGACTCTAGTCGTTAACTTAAATACTTAAAATATTACTATTACAGGATGAAAACAAAGCCATTATATTAAAATATAATATAGGAACATCAATAACATTACGAGAGAAATAATATTCCCTTCGTAATGTTAATGAAGTTGTTAGACATTTTTGGACTAGATGCGAAAAACATGCAGTACCTTTATTTTTTGTAGGAGAATTATAAAATATTGTTTTTGGGGCGCCTTAGGACACTTGCCTCCGTTGCCCGCGCACCCTGAGTGCGTCCCTGCTTTTGATCACATACATATCACTTTATAATATCCGATAAAAGTATCCCGATAGAATTTGAACTAAATCACCAACCAAACATTATTTTCAATTACTTAATTTAGTTCTGTTGATTTTCTAAAGACACATATTGATTCAAGAGTTGTTCAATCAATTTTATTAGAATATGATTAAGAGCAACAGTTCTTAAATCTTAAACTGTTAGTCAAATAGAATAGAGTGCAGCCAATTCTTGGCACGCTAAATTTATAGTTGAGAATATAAATGTATTTCAATAAAAATTGCATCGAAAAAAACGAAGGAAATTCTCAAACTGTATGTGCATTATGTCTCGTTTGAAGTGATCTCGATGCCGAGTGTTCAATCACCCTAAACGTAATGCATTCCCCTCTTGTTGTGCATGTACGTGTGGGTACTTAAGTGAAGGTTAATGTGATTTATAAAAAAGGATCTGTGAGTGTGTAATGCATACAGTATCGGTACTCTGAACGCGACGGCATATCTAAAATACCTGTTAATTTATAATTTTAATACACAAGTACTTACCACCGTCGTCGTTAGTTACAACCGTGTAATGTAATAAGACATACAATAACGCCAGGTACATTTAAGTATCTGTTTGTATCACGTACACGGGTATACAATAAGAGTGGACATTGATATCCACCGACCGGTCGGTCGTGTGTTCGTTGGGTTCCTTGACCCAGCGGCGGTAGCCCGGTCGGTCGTTAGGAGACGCTCCGCGTCGACGGTGATTTGTGGTGCGTGTCTGGCCAGTTCAACGTCCGGAAACAGTGAAAGTGGTCCAGTTTGACCACGCCACTAGGTGTTCCGGGGGTCGTTGAACCGCCATCACTTGCCATGGGCATATGGGTGGCACACGTATTTTAGTGCACTAGGACACGACCCGTGCACACAGTAACTAATCAATCGGATCCCCTCCCTTTCTTCTCCTACCCGACAAAATAGATAACTGACACCGCTTCATTGTACCTGTGCTCTACATTAGGTCTAAAGCAATGTCTGCTGATATTACGCTATCCTGTTTACGGCCAAGACAGCACCTAGAGCCGCAGTTATCAGAAAGTTCGTTGCTCGCCCACTGCGATTAAGATAGCAGACCAATTGATTATTTTTCAACTTTTCCAATACGTTTTTTTTAAACGGGTGGTCTACATTTATACATTTTGCATATTCAGTATAAATTCTCCTGGATCATAGGTATCTTTCGTTCCACTCTTATTTCCAGGGGATAATATATTTTAAACATTTTTTTGAGATCCAAAAAATTGTAATTTACCAAATTTTAGTTGATTAAAGGATTTTTATTAGCCAAAAAATCATTAAAATGTCAGTTACTCCATTAAAATGTTCTGCTCGAGCTTTTCGCCTCCTTTGTCTCCCTCTCCTAAATATGCCAATTTTTAAACCTTTTTTCATGCTAAATAAAAACTATTATAATAATGTTTTATATTCAATACTTCCAAATCTTAAATATCGAAATCTAAATCAAACCGTGGAATTTATAAATATGTAAATAAATCCAACCATTGTTATTTATATTTAATTAATTTTTTTGATTGAATATAAATTTGAACATTATAGTGAAATTATGCGTTTTATCCAAACATTATTATTATTACAATAATGCAATTTTAAAAGATTGTCT